TGTAGTTACCTTACGTGATGTAGGTGCACGTTAAGAAGGGGTTTCGGGAAATTCCATGTATGTAACTTTTTTGTTTACCATCCGATCGGCCTCAAACATATTTTCAAATATCTTTGTTCAAATTCATTTGAGGGGTGTTACACACTTTTAGGAAAAATCATTTGAGACGTGTTTCATACTTTTTGCAGAATCCAAACTTTTTCGTGTGGAATGCGACTCAAAGATTTTTTGTGCGAAGTTTTAAGTTGTGTCCGATTTGCTTCACACTAATTTTCAAAGGTCTACATATGAACTTAATGAATATGTATTTTAGCGATTTGGGAAATTCCACCCGCAACAGTGGTAAATTGGCGGAAAACGGTTGTATGAAAGTTTTTTGTTTAGCATCCGATCGCAGACCTATTTTCAAAGATCTATGTTCAAATTCATTTGAGGGGTGTTTCACGCTTTTTGAAAAATCCATCCCTCCTTGGTGCAAATGGGAGTCGAAGATTTGGTGGATGACGTTTTGTGTTCAAATTTATTTCCAAAGATCTATAAGAAAATCATTTGAGACGTGTTTCACATTTTTCGCAAAATCTAAACTCCGTCGGTGGAAAATGCATTTCAAAGATTTTTTTGGTGAATTTTAAGTCTTGTCCGATTTGCATACAAGATGTTTGATTCCCGTCAGATCAGTTTCATAATCATTTTCAAAGCTTTTTGAAAACATTGATTTTATAACATACGTGCCACGGGCAAGGCCGGGTTATAACGCTAGTAAAGCATATTTAACAGATGGGTTGAAATTATGTATCAGCTTATCTTTCTATCAAAAAATCTGCTTCCATTTAGGTTGAGAAAGTGCCATACATACATATGTATTCTTTGAAATGAATTTAAGTTATCTTACTTCATTAACCAAAATATGTTTTTAGATTCAGCATTAGTACTTCTTTCGTAATGTGCGAACCAAAGTACAATATTCTATTACAGAATAGCATACGTTTTTTTATACCCTGAACCCATTGAAAATGGGTAAAAAGGGTATAATTTATTTGTGCAAATGTACAATATTCTATTACAGAATAGCATACGTTTTTTTATACCCTGAACCCATTGAAAATGGGTAAAAAGGGTATAATTTATTTGTGCAAATGTATGTAACAGGCAAAGGAAGCATCTCCGACCCCATAAAGTATATACATTCTTGATCAGTATCAGCAGCCGAATCGATCTAGCCATGTTCGTCTGTCCGTCTGTCCGTCCTTCCGTCCGTCTGTCTATGTATGAACGCAAGGATCTCAGAACCTATAAGAGCTAGAGACTTGAAATTTTAGCTGTAGGTCCTCCCAGTCCATGCGCAGATCGAGTTGATTTCCGATAATCGATAACTTGCCCCGTTCCTGTTTTTAGAGCATTTTTGGTAAATAATAAGAGCTAGAGTCACCAAACTTGACATGTAGCTTCTAGAATAGTATATATGTATATATCAAGGATCTTTTATTTTCTAGCTATCACCACCTCCCCCCCACTACCTTTTAGCTATAAATCAAGTAAATAAACCAATTTGTGCTGCCCGCCTATATAAGTCACCATTTAATTGCAATTGTCACTGTAAGAATACACTAATATTTTATAGTACAATAAGATGTACTAACGAAAATTTCATTAAGGTCGGTTAAGAAACACAAAAGCTAAGTGTGCACGTGCTAGCAGCAGCTAGCGCAAATTCCAAGAATTTCTGTATACGTTTACACACACACATTCATGCGTGTTTTCTTTGAATTCTATCAACAGCATTGCAAATGCGATTGTATTGTTTTCTGTGCTGTTATTTTAATTCGTTTTTTTTCTCATTTAGAACTAATAAATGGTGTCGCTGCTGAGAGGCGGCGGAAAGTTTGAACCCTGCCAAGGGCATATTTTTATTTTTTATTTATTATTATTACTGCTAAAGTAAGCGCGTTGCGCGACCTACATACATATATTTGGTGTATCCCCTAGCTCCCGACTAGAACCTCTTGTTTATTTATACGTAAAGTGTAGCTTTAAATTAATTAAGAAAAGAATTATGAGATCGCAACAATGCTTTAATATTAAAAGAATCTAAACTGCAGGTATATATTTGGCAAGGATTAAACTCTCAATCTCAAGAAACTGTAGTTTTTATACGCTTTGTAGTTGTGTCCATGCCTTCTGAGCATTTCCTTGGGGAAATCAAAACAATTTTAAAAATTATGATGATTTGTAAATTGTAGCAAGCTGAGAAATTTGTTTTTCTTTATAATGTTAGGCAATAAAAATTCTTTTATGAATGCGTTGCTAATTATAGTTAACTTTTCTAGAAACCTATATCATGCATTTTTGTTCATGCAAAACCAGATAATTTTAAATTAAATTATTTAGCATTACATTTTTCAACAATTGGTTCAATGGTCTTTAAACTTACTTAAAGAAGTAACTCGCAAAAAAATCAATTTTTTATATTCTATATTTTAGACAACATTCTAGGCAACTTTCTTGTTGCATAATTTTCTCACACACAAAGGCACGAGGACTAAGGCCAATGGTGGGCGACACCTATTTTAACTGCTTAGCGACTTTATGACTGAACAGGTGTGCATTTGGGAATTGTATGTCACCTCGGATCTTATACCCTGCATTTTAAGATTAGAGTGCCTTCAAATATTAATTAAAATATTAATCAATAACTGCTAGGGCACGAAAAATAGATGTGCATGATATAATCAAATATTCCTAAATTTTAAAAAAATATCTGCGATATGTCTTAAGTAAGTTTTAGTTTTAGTGTATTCAATTGTGTGCTAAACTATTTATAAAACATTTTTAAAAAATTTTAATTGAATATATTATGCATTTATGTATGTATGTATGTCTCTTAAGTGGTATCTAAGGATCGTGTTTTAGAATTTTTAAGTAAATTCACTTGTAATGCGCGGGCTGCAGGCTGGCAAACTCCGGAGTGCAGACGCATGGGTGTGATGTTGTGTATGTGGGCCATATAAATGCAAATGGCTTATGAAATAATTTGCCAGTAAATTGTTAATTTATGGTAAATTGCATATTGAGGCCTCAAGTCGGCGCCATTGTTGTTTGTAATAAAGAGGCGGCACCTGTACCTTTCATACACACCTGTCCTACACTTTCTGTTCTCTCTGTTGTCTGCCCGCTGGCAAATGTAAATTTTTATTTCTTATCAGCTTGATAGCATTAAATGGAAATTTTTCTTTTAAATAATTGCGTGTTTAAGGTGAAATTTCTTATGTGCCGGATATGATTCCGGGCCAAAGTGGGTGATGTCGAGTGCCGAGAGTGCCAAGAAACGTAAATTGAATAATGGCTTGTACTTTCTATTGAGCTGCCACCCTGTTGTAAAATGAGCAGCCTCTTTGCAATGACTTTAGTGACACTCCAATCTTCCCTTCCCCCAAAGGCACAACACCTGTGCTCCATTTTAATGTGAGTGCCTGCGGTTCCGGCGCAAGTGTAATTTGTTGGAAATTGTGGAAATGATTTAATGAAATCTTTTTCCAACCTTTAATAATAAAGGAAAAATGCATTTGTATTGCGTGATGATAGAAGGACTAAGTGCTACAAAAATTAGACTTCAGTAAAGCATTTAAATGAAAATTATGCAATAAAAGCAATGTCTCTATTGACGAGGTAGGTGATAATAAATGAAGGCACTTGGGAAATACCCAAATGCAGGCATAGCTCTTTTTATACCCTTGCAGAGGGTATTATAATTTTGTCGTGAAATGTGTAACGCATAGAAGGAGACATCTCCGACCCCATAAAGTATATATATTCTTGATCAGTATCAACAGCCGAGTTGATATAGCCATGTCCGTCTGTCCGTCTGTCTGTTTCTATGCGAACTAGTCTCTCAGTTTTAAAGTTATCTTTATGAAACTTTGCAGAATTCCCTCTTTCTGTTGCACGCAGTTCATATGTCAAACCCAGCTGGATCGGACCACTATATCATATAGCTGCCATAGGAACGATCGGTCGAAAAGTAGGTTCTTGTAAGAAAAACATTTTTGTTTATAAAGTTATCTTGACTAAACTTGGTATTTATTAGTTTTACTACGCTCCCCATATATATGCAAAATTCTATTAAGATCTAACAACTATATCATATAGCTGCCATTGGAACGATCGGTCGAAAATTAAGTTTTTGTATGGAAAATTTTTATGTGTTTCAAGATATCTTGACCAAACTCGATATTTATTAGTTTTACTACGCCCCCCATATATATGCAAAATCCTATTAAGATCGGACAACTATATCATATAGCTGTCATAGGAACGATCGGTCGAAAGTTAAGTTGTTGGATGGAAACCTGTTTTGTTTTTCAAGATATCTTAACCATACTCGGCATTAACTATTTTCCCTGTGCTTCTTAGCATTATGAGCATTTTGAAAAGGTTGGGTCTGCAAGGGTATTAAATCTTCGGTGTGCCTAAGATAGCACTTCTTTCTCGTTTATATTATTATTAAATATACAGTAAGAAATAATGAAGAGCAATTGGAGCAAGTTTTAATAAAAAAGAAAAGATTGATACGATCTGGTTACCCATTTCATAGTAAGAACTTAAATATAAACTTAAGTTCCTTTACATCAAGCAATAGGCAGATTAAGATAAATGTAACTTGTTTCTATTCTTGACGATTCCCAATCTGTACTCATATTTAGATATATTGGTAATTTTTTTTAATAAAACAAAAAATAATTAGAGCCAAAGTACTTGATATTCTTCTTATACTATTATTATTATACTTATTGAGATAGGTGCTTGCGAATTATTTTAGTTACTGTCGTTTAAACAAATACTGTATTCAGCAGTATTAATATTAATATTTATTTGGGAAGAAATAATTGCAATATATGGGATTCAATTGCATTGTACTGGTTTCAGACGACCTTCAACAAAGCTGTCATATGCACATATGCTTACATATTTTAAAATTTTGAACTGTCTAGTAAGTATTTTATTTCAAAATGAGGCCCAGAGAACATCTCATGCTGTTTCTGTCAAATGTGTTTGGCATAGGCACTTTAATTATATTGAAAAATCGTATACTCGGTACCCATGATGTCTCATTTAAAGCTCAAGCCGTTTCATAAAATATATAGAAAGCAAATAAGATGACCAAAAGAACTAAATGCAATAGTGAACCCGATTCCAATATTTTCAATATATTGATTGACTGCCTCGACCAGTCACTCGCTGGATTAAAACCAACTGGTCCAAATCAGGTGGGCCAATGGGATACAGTGTGATTCACTCAATTCTTGGAACACCTTGCTGCCAAAGCTCTAGCTATTTTCCATACTGTTTACAGAAAACGAAACAAGAAGCAAACAAACTGCAAAATACAACTTTTTATGTTTTGGTCCTTTCGGTTAGCAAAATGGAAAATGCAATTGTGTACACGATTTCCTTTCTTAGGCAATCAAAGAAATAAGAGATTTATTTTGTTGGTCATTAAACAACATGCCATGTCATTCTGTTGGCTGATAATATTTCCTGCAGCCCCTTAATAACCTAAACTTAGAAGTAGCGAATTACCCTTAACATTTTTCCAAATTGTATTGATGCGGACACACGTCAAAAATGTGAAGTAAATACGTTTTTTAGTGATTAAATCGATCAACAAATTCTTTTGTTAACAAGAAAAATACATTGTAAATAAACTCCCCCTCTCGGCTATATTACCCCTTAAATTTGAATAATATATGGAATTGCAAGCAGCATATTGGAACTGTAGATATATTTACTTTTCTTGGGAAAATTATTATAAGAGTCGGTTGGTAAATATATAAACATAAAATAATGCTATATAATAATGTAAAAATGTACATCTCATTAATATCAATATACCTTATATAAGAAAAAAACACCGGTATATGTATGTCTATACTATCAGTTCTGACTTTCGACTTTAAGCTAAATAAGAGAGTTTATTCATTTGTCAAACTGAAGATTTCTGCATAGATAAAACTGCAGCTCAATTCGATGGAAAACACAAGGATTTGCTCAATTTTATCCACCCAGCCACAAACTCTTTTTTTGCTCACAATAGCTGAGCTGCTTTTGCCTATTTAATGGTGCCAGCTTTTATGGTCTATTTATAGGAGGACTAAGACTCGCCTTCATTAGGGCCATTCGCAGAACTCTAGCTAAATGAAATCGAATCGAAGAAATGAAGTAAATTTACGATTTCGGAAGAATATACAAGTTAGGCTGAAAACGCAGAATGAAATTCATTGGCATGTGTAATTTAACCATACTTAATTATATCGGCACACACATACACAGTCGTATATACAGAAGCGAAATGAATTGCGACAATTGATTTTTATTTAATTAGTTTTAAATTGAACGCTCATTTGGCCAACGGCTGTTGCCTGTTTAAACCTTACCCGCTTTCCACCTCGAAAGAAAATTGAAGTGCTGGCAGGTGATGGAAACATTTGTCGGGAAGTGCCAGGTGGAAGTGCCAAGTGGAAAATGCAAAATAGTTAATATTTGCAATTGCAACGGTTGAGTGCGGCGTATTTTTAATGATAGGCTGTCCTAAAACAGTTAAGAGGAAATGAATATAATCTAACAGCTAACGCATTCATTATGTCTTTGAGAAGAGATGATGACTCAATGGAACTCTGAATATTTCTATGGTATGCATACTCAAAATTATGAGAGTATTTGTATCAATTGCTTCTTTTTGGGCTACTTTAGAAGTCACAACAAAATTATGGGTCTTATGTACTGAAAAATAAATTTGCTCGCAATGGATATGTATATAGAATTCAGCGTAGCTAAATGACACATTCATTCAATCAACTGAACAACAAGCATACAGGTTCAAATTCTGATCTAATATATGCATGTAGATTTCTCTTGGCCGTAAGCCATGTGAACTGGCCAAAATTATTTTAAAAATTTGGGTCGAGCTTTCTAATTTAATATATAGGCATGATAATAAATAGCAAAAATACTAATTACTAAAATAAAAAAGAAACGTAAGAAATTGGACGCTAATGGCGCATAAAGCATCAGCCAGATTGCGAGCCGTTTAATAAATAAAACAAAAAAGGAGCAATAGAATACGAATTTTCCAGCTGCGGTGCAATGTGGAAACTCCAAACCAGCTTATAATTCACAGCTGGTTTTCGTAAAAAAAATACTTCGATGTTAATTACTTATTCTTAGTAAATTATTACTAAATAAAATATTTATCATGTAAATTGAAACCATTTATTAGATAAGTCTGAAAAGGATAGTGTAATTTTTAAAAGGTAAATACTCTGCCCCTTAATGAACATTAACGATAACATTTATGGGGCGTAATGGCTCGCTCCTAAGTGAATTTTGTAACATCAATTTAGGTAAAAACAGGCGAATACCCCCAATGGCAGATGTGCCTTTACATATCTTACAACATATCCTGAAATTCTGTGGAAAATAGAGCAAAAAAGTTTGGAATGCTCAGAATTCTCTGCAATGTTAGCCCACAAGAGTTTAGTTAAAAACAATACTTGTAAATTTCAACAAGTAATTTTGTATTGTAGAATTATGTTATAAAATAATAATTTTAGCTGCAAAAACTATTTTTTTAATTCAACAAACATTATATTTGTATGAATGTATGCATAGAAAAGTAAATTCGGTATAATAATGGGTTCTATATTTATACCAGAATTGATTGATATTATTACAATATTACTGGCCTTTTACTTGTCAAAGCTTAAATAGCAGTTATACCCTTGGTTTTTTAGGGTATGGTATAAGCAAAAGAGGCGTGTGGCTTCGTTTTTGTACGGAGTATGGCAATTTGCTGCTTTGGGGTCGTCTCGCGCTCTTCCACAGCAGATCCGTCCGCTCACCTTAGGCTCCTGTCGAGACGCCTTCAACTTCGCAGGCTGGGTTGAAAAATAACACTTAAGCTGGTGGCAAAAGTTTTCGGCTTGTTGCGAAAAACATACGCGGCGTGTTAAAATCTTATCAACAAATGCAGAAGCTTCAGCGTCAGTATTTGCGTTAGTCATGAGTAAAGTTAAGAGAGACTTTTCTTACACAACGCAATTAAATTTGCGTTAAAAGAGCTCACGTCGCTGATTAAAGCAGCTTAGACTGCTCCTTAGCTTCGGTCTGGTACCCCCAATTTTATACAACAACAGAAACTTTTACACGCATCGTCGCCCTCTCATGTATGCGTGTGTCAAAAGGCAGCTTTGCGCCAAAGTTCCTTCCTTAGCAAAAACAATGGCAACAAAACAACGGGCAACAAGCATTGAAAAATATGTGCCTAATCCTAAATAAGTTTTCCAACTTTGCCAACATCTCAAACTTGAGCATTTCGCCTCGAGCCAAAATGTTGATGAATTGCCAGAACAAAGATAAACGACCAGGTATTATTTAGATCACATTCCGTACGTAAATTTCTTATATATCTCTATACATAAAACTGTTTGTCCTGACTGACTGAACGACATACTGACTGACTGATTGGTGATCAACACACTGCTCACTTACCTAATGTGTTGAAGGTGCAAATGCGATTCAAAACTTTTTGGCCAAAGTTTTAAGTTGTGTACGATTTGCATCAAACTTATTTTCAAAGCTCTAGATAAGAACTTAATAAATACGTATTTTAGCGATTTGGGAAATTCCACCCACAGCAGGCGCTAATTAGCGATTAACGTTTGTATTCAAATTTTTTGGTTACCACCCGATAGGACTGAAACTTATTTTCAAAGATTGTTCTTCAAATTCATTTAAGGGCTGTTTCACACTTTTTGAAACAATCACCCCTCCTTGGTGGATTTGGGAAATTTCGCATGCAACAGTGGTAGATTGGCGGAAAAATATTGAATGAAATTTTTTTTACCGGGTTTCAAACTCATTTTTAATGATCTTTGAGAAAATTTATTTAATACGTGCCACGGGCAAGGCCGGACAATACCCGCAAGTTGTATACTATAAGAAAATATTTTACAATTTAACCATATTTAAGATACTCTGAAATGATATAATCCTTGTGTTAATATTGATCCTTCAGGTCAAGAAGAGTAACGCGTTTTATAAAAAAACAAAAATTCCATTCAGTATATGCCGATTTCACCGCAATACATATATCTGTCGGAAGGTAGAAATAAAAACTTCCTATTTTTAATCTTTTACCCGTTTGGATATATCTATATCTCCGATAACTTATGAAATTGATATGTTGGATAATCAGACGAACTAATTTTGAATGTTTATATACGTAACGGGATCGCAGATGCCATGCTGGGTGTAATATTTATCCATAAATTAATTACTGGTGAAATCGACTCTTCTGTGTTGACTAGCCAATTAAATATCTCTTCAATTTTCCTCAACTATATATGCCTTGCATGAACAGTTCAGGGTTCTCTGTGATGACTATAACAACCATTACAGAGTATTCTGCTCGGAGTTTTCTCTTCCTCGTATAAAGTCTTCTATTCTGAACTATTTAGCAAGTAGATAGTTTTATTTTTATTTGTAATTGTATTTTTACATATAGTTGTAGTTTATATTCGTTTTCTACCACGCGGATCGTGTCGTACGAAACACGACTGCGCCCCTCGGTCGGTTGGTCAGGAGGTGGGATGGAGAATATTGCATCGGGATTCGCGCGTTTAAGATGCCTTCATCTGAGGCCGATTATTGCAGAGTATTTATAAATACTTTATTATTTGTAATGATGTATTATATAATACAATTATAATATACAGTTGTCTGCATATAAAAATTAATTGTAAATCTACTCAGCTTAAAAATTGAAATTTAAGGAAATTAAACTAATTTTTGCACAAAAATATATCGATATGTATTTGGAGTTCTTGTTTAGTACAAAAATCATGAATTCCCGCAGGCGGTTAATTTTGTTTAATATGGCGCGGGAACTGAGTAAAATTTCCCGCTAGATACAGGAATTTAATGTCAACGCTTCTGTGTGCAGCATTCTGCTGCCAAAGGGGTTTTATTTGTTTAATATGGAGACAACGCACGCCGAACCCTTCCACCTTTGGGGTGACGGGGCACTGTACCACCGCAGTTGTGTGTACAGTGTTTGCTTGTTATTGTCTTCATACAAAGTGACGGCCGATGGTGATGAATTTTTAGGCTGCCACCTTAACAACTCCAAAGAGCAGGGCTACAAATGCAGTCGCGCACTCACAAACATACACACCCTGAATATACGCTCCCCTTTTTACCCAGCCTTTGACAAACTAAGCACACATATTATATACACTTTTAAACGCGCAACGTTGCGTCACATGGAGTTTGCCACGCATTTACGCCTCCGATTAAAATGAATTCATTTCCGATTATTTACAACTGATGAAATGCCGAGACTCTGAATCTCAAAGGAGCCTTAATTAATTAAGATAATCAGACGAGGCGCGCAGCGTGCTTAAGCATTCAAGGGGTTTGCAGACAGGCAGCTGCAATTATATTAAGCCCTTATCACAATGTGCTACCAGGTAGGCATTGTTGCGGCAGGAGGTGTCAGGAACCGAACCGCCTAGCTAGGTTGTTTTTTTATTCCTCAATAAGAAAACACAAATAATTATACATATATAATTTGCTAGAAGAAGTTGTACATACTTTTCGTAATATTGCGAAATTCCAACTTAGTGTAACCAAACTTATCAAAGACAAAAAACTTAAAAAGAATCAATTTCTATGGTGCCAGATCGCCACAAACCTATACGTTGACCAAAA